TTACATTTTCCCTACATTATTTTTGGAGTCACATTTTATTTGACCACTTACTTTTCAAGATGATGGTTATAAGGGTGGGGTTAAGGGTTGCAGCCAATAAGCCAATCTCCCCCAAGGCTCACCGGGGCTGGCACTGTGCCACGTGTTTACATGCTTCTCACTGCCCCCCAGGATGCCCCACGGAAGAGGCCTGTTTTGTTATTGCTGCCACGGTGGCACAGCACGGGGTGCAGCGTGCAGGTTTGCCAGCCAGACTGACTGGGTTTGAAACCTGCCTTTCTTACTTACCAACTGTGAGCAAGTTACTTACACTGTCGGTGCCTTCGTTTCCCCACAGCAAAATGGGGGTAATAGGAGTTCTCTCGTAGGGCTATGGAAGGAATAAATGGATAATAGTTCTCTCTGTAGGTGTTAGCCGTTGTTCGCTCTAGATTAATGTTGGCTATTATTAGCCTCACCTTACAGATGGGGAAACGGAGGCTCCGAATGAGTGAGGAACTCTCTCAGGACCACGCAGCCAGCAAGCGGTAGAGCCAGGAGTGGGGCCTGGGCAGAGGGGACGCTCTTCAGTGCTGTGCTCTGCTGCCTTCCTGTCCATTCCGGGCTGCGTTCCGCCTCCCTGAGACTTCCCCTCCCGGTCTTATGAAGCTGACTGGGAATTTTACAGGCTGTGAGGATTAAGTGGAATAATGTTTATGAGCAGCCTACCCCCGTGCCTGACACAGAGGCGGGAGGGGCCCGGGTACCTGGAGATGACACAGATGCCAGTTTCTCCCCTCTTTGCCCACCGCACCACAAGTGATAACGCAGATTCTGCTTTTGAGGCCAGTCCAAGGAAGGTGCATGCAGCCTCAGGTGGTAGCCTCTGGGCCTGGGGACGTATGCGGGGTGGAATTGGAGCCATGGACAATTCAGAGGAGTTCCCCGGTGACAGGGAGCTCAGAGGCAGTTATTTGTCAGATGCAGGCGGCCATTTGTCAGGTCCTCCCTGTGCACAGGGAGGAGGGACGGGGGATGGAAGGGGTTCCCAGCGTGACGGCCAAGTCCTGAACCGCAGCTGGAGCTGACACCAGGCCCCGCGGAGGCTGGAAGCGGCGCACAGCCTGCCACTGTCCAAGGAGACGCGGGAGCCCTGCAGGCAGCAGCTCACAATGCAGCGTTGATTGTGGAGGCTCCAGAGCTGCGGGCGCAGTTGAACGTTAAGGTAGAAAAATCTACTCACAGTCGAATTATCCTTCGTGTGTTTGCACACACTGACCAGTATGGGCTCCTGGCTATCGCTGAGCTCAGATCTCTTTCTGAAAATTGGGAAAGACTGATGATCAGAGTAAAAGGCTTGCCCAGGGTCCCACAGCAGTTCAGTGCAAAACTGGGGCTTGGATCAGTAAAAGGGCCTTGGATGGCCTTCTCGTCCTGGCTCTCCACGAAATTATGAGCACTTGCTGTGTGCCCGGGGGCTGTGCAGCCCTGCCCCCCCTGTGGAGACTTAACCCTTTGAGTGCCAACCAATACCCTAGGAACTCTGCTAAAATTGCCAAGGCATTTTTGCTGATTTTACAACAGCTTAGGGAAAAAAATTATGAATCGCAAGTCAATGAAGTTACATATTCAAAAACTTAAGGAAACCTTTACTACATTGACATATTTAGCAATATCATCGTCACTAATAAAAAGCAGACTTAGAACTGGACACCATTTCGAAGCTTTGATAGCGCTCCCGGCACTTTTGGTGAAAGACAGGAGCTCCTCGGCACTCAAGGGGTTAATATTGATGCATTCGTTCCCAAACAGGCATGGACACCCACCTTCTGATAGCCCACCTTCCACCACACCCTCTCTCCTGCTTTAACCTGCCCACACTTTCCAGTTGCTAACCGCTAATTCTCAGCCCTCTCTATTGACCTTTCTCCCACCCGCCTCCACCCCTTCCCCCCACCCAAAAGCTCAGGCTGGAGCTCCCCAACCTGGGGTCAAATCTCCGCTCTTTTTGCTACCAGCTGTGTGACCTTAGGCCAGTTACTTAACTTCGTCCGCAGTTCCCTTTCTTATAAAGTGGGCGTGGTCATTGTTCAGCCCTCATAGGGTGGTAAGGATGATAAAGTGCATTAGTGTGTGGAAAAGGGTAAGCGTGTCTGGGACTAGTCAGTGCTGTCTTATCGTTACTGACATCATCACCTCCATCTGTTAGTGATGGTGCCCCCTTTGCCCTGGGAGGATTGGGGTGGAGAGCAGGGAGGCCTTCAGAAGAGGCACATACTTAAAGGGCCTTGAAACACTTCAGAGGAGCTGGCTCTTGAGGGTGGCATTTGAAGGCAGGATGAAGGCCTAGTTGATGGGAATGCAAGAAGAGCAGGTAGGAATGAGCAGCATGAGCAAGGGTGTGGGGCAGGAAAGAAGTACGGGGCAGTTTGGGGAATGGCTGTGGAAGTCAGAGTTGATGAGGCTGGAAAGGTCACAGGTCGGGGACACGGGTTGAGTAGGGCCTTGGAAGCCAAACTGAAAAATCTATATTGAATTGAATAGGCAGCAGGGAGCTGGTGAATCCAGAAAGGTGTTGATTCTAGGCACCCGTGACCTGGCTGTCTCAGCAAACCTTTCTATTGGTTCCCGTAGATGAGCTGATTTGCTTGTGATTTTCCAGATGGAAGGTATAGCCAACGATTGGTAATTTTGCTGTTCCCCACCCCACAATGTTTACGTCTCTATCTTGCCTTCTTGTACTGGCTAAAACTTTCTGAACAGTTTTCAGTAACGACAGGTTTCCTTAACATGTTCTTGACTTTAATAAGAAGGCTTCAAGTATTTCACCAGTTAGGTATGCTGTTGACTCTAGATTTAAGATCAATATCAGATCAAAGCAGTATACTCCAATTCTTATTTACTAAGAGGTATTGTGAGGAATTAGTATTGAGTTTCAGCCAATGCCTTTTCCATAGCTTTGATATAATCACATGTTTCTCCTCCTTTGATACATTAATATGCTTTCCCAACCAATGCTTTAATATCGATCATCCTTGTATACCCAAATTAAGCCTTTTTTGGTCATGGTATAGTATTCTTTTTCTAATATTACTTGATCAGTGATATTGATTTTTTGCATATATATTAATAAATGAACAGTTTAGTAACAGAAATATGTGTCCCTTGAAGATATGTAATACTTTAAACAATAAAATAAAACTTAAAAAAAAGGATCTTGCTCAAAACAAAACCAAAAAACTTGTTCAAGAAGCTAAATGACTGAGGCATCTTATTTTTAAAAATGATTTTAAAAAACTTAATGTTTCGACTAAGGTTATTAGGCTATTCATATTTTCTACCTCTTCTTGAGTTAATTTTGATAATTCATGTTTTTCTAGAAAATTCTACTTCAGTTGAGATTTCCACATTTGTTAGTGCGGAGCAGCCATGCATTTCCAAATGGTTTTTAGCATCATCTCTTCCATATCTCTGGTTGTATCTTCTCCTTATTCTTAGGTTCATCTATCTTATTGGTCTTTTCAAATAACAATTCTTGGTTGTATTTATTGTTACGTCTGCTTTTCTGTTTCCTAATTTGTTATTTTCTGCTTTTTCCTGATCCACTCCTTCCTCCTCCTTTCCTTAGGCTCACGTTATTGCTTTTTTAGCTGGCTTCTTGAGTTGCGTGAGGCTTCAGTGAGGCACTGATTTTTCAATCCCTTGCTTTTGGAATCATGGTTTTAAAGCATGTGTAACAGAGGCAGAAACTATTGGGGTTCAGTCCCCGTTGAAGAAAGAACCCCATCCCAGGAGCCGGAGAGCTGGATTCCAGTACCAGCCTTGCCTCAAATCAGCTGAGTGTCTCTAGGCACGACCTTCCTCTCTCAGGACCCTCTCATCCATCTCAGGCAGCCAGGCGAGCTCCCCTGCACTAGGCCATCTCTTATCAGGACAACACCCTCCGTCCCCCAGGAGGCAGATATAGCTTCCTCTGATGTGCTCCTGGCTCTCATCCCAACACACATATCCACGGAAGCTGTGCAGTTGAACTTCATTCTGTGTGATGGAGCCAGTGAGCAGGGTGACTGTGTGGCTGGAAGGCAAGGCTCAGTCTGGGTGTCCCAGCTGAGACACATGGAGCCTCTGGACACGGGGTCAGAGGCACGGCTAGGTATGTGTGCAAGGCAGTGGAGTGGGGTGGCTTATCATGTGGACTTTGACCTTCCAATGTCTCAAATCCTGTAAAATGGGGTAGTGCCAGTACCTTACCTCATAGGGTTGTTGGGGGTTAATTGAGTTAATAATTTAAAATACTAAGAACAGACCTGGTGTCTTGTAGTTTCCATGTTAGCATGTTTGGCTTGTCGTTGTCATTAATAGCATGGAGGCAGGGGGTGTGGGCGATGAATGAGGACTCACCCTGCTCTCCAGAACCTCGCAGCCTGCAGAGGTGGACACGCTCTTGCCAGCGTCTGCCTCCCGGTCCCAGTGCCCAGCACCCAGCACAGTATCTGGTATCAGGAGGTGCTTCCTGTGCCTTCACTGAATGTGACCGGCTCTAGCCGAAGGCAGAAGAATTCAGTGAGGACCAGAGCTGTGGGGGTTCGAGGCGGAGGGAGGCATCTGAGCTGGTCTCTGCAGGCGGTGATGTTGGGCCGGTGCAGCAGGAGCAGAGGGTGCTTCACGCAGAGGGCACAGCAGAGCAAAGGGGTGGCGGTGGGTGCTGAGGCCCAAGTCCTACTGGGGGCAGAGAGCAAGGTGAGCCGGCTGGAGCTGCAGTTCCCAGGGACACAGCAGAGCCATCCTGTTCCTGCTGTGTGGAGCCAGGGTGGCTGGAGGTGTGCATGTGCGTGTGTGTGTGTGTGTGTGTGTGTGTGTACATGTGCGTGTGTGTTTCCATGCGAGTAACGTGAGGAGCTGGGGGCATGTTGGTGCTCAGCGTCCAGACGTGACAAATGTGCAGATGTCCGGGGAGCGGTGGACATGAGCAGCTGGCCGCGGAGACGCTCACCCTGTGATTTGTTGCTTTGATTCCTCAGGCCGAGACTTGGCGAGCACGACCCTCCCCGGGTACCCTCCGCACGTCCCCCCCGCCGGACAGGGCAGCTACTCAGCACCGACGCTGACAGGGATGGTGCCTGGTGAGTTTGCATTGTTGGCGTCTCCACAGCAGGCGGCACATGGGGTTTCGGGGGGGGCGGGCATCTCCCCGAACAGCCCTGATGACCTCTATGCTTCTGAGAAGTGGACCTGAATAAATCAGGCGGAGGTCTGCACTCTCGGCTTCCTCTGCAGCCGGGCCTGCCGTGGGGCCGGGACCAGCCAGTGGCGGCACCCGGGGGGACATCAGAGAGAGGGGGGCTATTGGCTGTCACTCAAACAGTCCTCATTGGCCACCTGGGAAGTCTGAACACAGAGGGGTGCGGGACCTGGTCGCAGGTCGCCCAGCCTGGGGAGTGAGGGCCCTCCCCCATCCTCTCCTCCCATCTCCCTTCCCCACCCGCTCCATGTGACATGAGCACAGGGAGAACCCCTGAGGAGCTCCCCGTGGCCTCACGCTTTGGAATTGAGGACCATGTGCACAGGACAGACAGAAAGCTGTCTGGTGGGTTTGTCACTTGACTCTAAACTGAACACCCTGTGGCCCTTGAAACCTGCTCCCCTCGGGCTGGCAGTGTGTCAGTTTCTTTCAAGACAGTGGAAGGGAGGCCACCACGCGCCCTTCCATGCACAACACAGCACATGGCGCTGTCCTCGTGCGAAGGGCACGAGCACGGCAGGGGTACCCCAAGTACCCGTTTTTTAAAAGATGCTTAAAGACATGATCAGGGGAAAGTCAGGTTGAAGGGTTGTTACACTTCTTTTAAGGGCTCGTGTGGTCCCTTGTTTTGAGTCATTTACGGGGCCACACGACTTATTCCATGCTGGGGGGCTCCAGGGGCGCTCCTCTCCCTGCACACACTGCTGATCTCTCAGGCGTGTGGAAAGCCAGCTGGTTATTTCTCCCCTTGCCACCCCAGGGACTTCTCTTTGGAGCCTCACAACAGCTCTGAGAAGTAGGCGGGTGGATCCTTCACCTGCTTTCTTGCTGAGGAAGCTGAGCCCAGAAAGGGGTTGGGACGGGCCCAAGTCAACCAGCAAATAGGAGTCCTGACCAGTGTGAACCCCCCGTAGACCCAGGCAAGAGGGACCTATTCTGGCCCCATAGGCCCCGCCCCTGATTGGCCATCTGCAGGGTCAATGGGATCTGTCCACCTGGTACCCGAGCCCCTCCTTCTAGCCCACCCTAGGGTCCTGTCCAGATAGTACCAGACTCTTCCAGCATCTTCCCTGACTTACATCACAGGCATGTGCATCCCAGGGCTGAGGACTGGCTCTTCGCGGGGGTGTGGACAGAGCTTGGGTGTAAGTGGGTTTGGGGAAGGGAGGGGCAGCAGGGCAGATCCTTGGCTCTCCCACACAGCCAGGTCCTGGCGCAGATGCCCAGGGGTCCCGGAATTCTAAATTCACTCCTGCTTTCCAGGGTATTACAAAGATGTGTTCAACAAGGTGGGAGGACGGAGCATGTTTCATTTAACGGTTTGTTAGCTTGATTTATGGCTTTCAAATATGAGACATATGGGAAGTGGCCTCCGTGTGTACGCTCGCCCTGGGCCATGCCAATGCCGAGAGGCCTGCCAAGGTCACACCTGCAAAGCCTTTGCCTTTTCTGCTACCAGGATGGGCCCGTGCAGAGCACAGGGGACTAGCAGGCATAAGGCAAACAGGTGGTGGGACAACCCCCGCCCCCACTCTTCCCAACTGCGAGCAAGCTAGGGCAGCCTCAGGAGGTGGATCCCAAGCCATCTCCATTAGTGGCCCCTCGAATTTAAGCAGCATCTGAATGAATGCAAAGTGCTTTCCTGGGAGCCCTGTGAGGTGGGCCGGTCTGGAGTGTAGCCCCCGTTTTCCAACAGGAGAATCCGGGGCTCAGAGCAGGTGGGGAGTTTCTCAAGGCTGCACAGCTTGTATCTGGGTCTTTGCCGGTCAGTTCAGCACTCCTGCCTGTGTCTGTGCTTCCAGAGGGTAGGCGGCAGCATATTGGCAGCTGAGGCCACCAGCTGCCCTGCTGCCTCCCCACTGCCAACCCCAAAGAGGCCACGTTCAGAGAGCAGCCGAACTTTCCCGAGTTTACCCAAACAGAGCCTGCCCTCCGGCCCCCATCGTTACTCCAGCCCTAATTACCAGGCGCAAAATACACACCTGGCCATGGGCCTGGCCCAGCCCCGGTGGGAGCTGATGGCAGCTCCTTGCCCATTTATGGTGGCAGCAGGTAGGCGGGGGCTGCCACAGGCTGGCCCAGGGCGTGGTCCCCTGAGACTCTGTTTCCCAAGCAGAGGCAGGGTACGTACACAGTGTACTGTTGCGCGTGCCTCTCCCCTCCCTTTCTCTTTTCTCCTTTTCTTGTTTTCTCTTCTCACATACCCCAGCACTGTCAGGGCCAGGAATCCATACGCGGTGGGCATGGTCCTTGGTTCCTGTTCCTCAGTGTCCAAATCGCTGTCACGGCTTTGGGACTGTCTCCAACATGAATTCCAAATGTGCCTCTTGGACGGCTTCAGGGACATTGCAGGCTCTTACGCACGGTCTTTGCAGGAGCTGCCCCAGGATTGGCCCACAGCAAAGATGGCCCGCCTTTAGCAGAGCGGGTCCTTGGCCTGCCATTCAGGCATCTCCATGGTCTGGCCTCAGCTTGCCTTTCCAGCCTCCTTTCCCAGCCTGTCCCCAGTCCTGACCACTCCTGGTTCCCAGCACAACTCACGCTTCCCGGTCAGTGTCCCTCTTGATTCTGTGCCCTCAGCTTAGACCACTTCCTACTACGGCCTGTTAGGATCCAGTGTCACTCTTCGGGGCTGAACATGCATCTTACCTGCCCCGTGAAGCCTTCTGGCATGGCCTCCTCTGGGGATAGAGCCTTGCACTTGGCTTTGTTGTGCCACAGGGCCCACTGTGTTTGTGGCCCAGCTCGCTATGCCACTGGGAGGCGACCTCATTGAGGACCAGGCCCTCTGCTTGGTTTTCTGCACTATTCATGGACCTTAGCACATAGTAGGTCCTTTTGCTAAGGGAGGGAGGCCCTCCAGGGCTGCAGCAGACAAGATGCTATTTGACAGGAGGTTCTCGGACAGTGATGGCAAACCTATGACACTCGTGTCAGAGGTGACACGTGAACTCATTTTTTTGGTTGATTTTTCTTTGTTAAATGGCATTTAAATATATAAAATAAATATCAAAAATATAAGTCTTTGTTTTACTATGGTTGCAAATATCAAAAAATGCCTATATGTGACACGGCACCAGAGTTAAGTTAGGGTTTTTCAAAATGCTGACATGCCGAGCTCAAAAGGTTCGCCATCACTGCCCTAGGAGTATGGTGGGTCCTTCCAGTCCTGGCACTCTACTTGCCATGGATTGGAACACATCATTTGTAGGTGCCTTTCAATTAAATTTCTCAGTTAACTGACAGCTTTTATTTTCTTGACAGTAGGAGGTGAGGGTGAGGGTGGAGCAGGAGCTTGGGCCAGTGAGGGGGTCTGGAACAGCAGCAAGAGGCGAGCAGAGACAGGCCCGGCTGCACCCTGCAGGAGGAAGGAGAGACAGGTGTGATTCCCTCTGCTTCCAGGGCGCGTCCCCGCCCCGCTGCTCCCATGGGACTGGCCCAGCCTGCCCTGCCCCTTCTCATCCTTGTGGGTTTCACCTCCTCAGAGGGGTCTTCCCTTTGACCCCAAATGTATTCGTCTCCTATCGCTGCTGAAGTGAGTTACCGCAAACAAGTGACTTAAGACAAGATAAATCTGCCACCTCTCAGTTCTGGAGCCCAGGCTCTCACAGGCTAAGGCCCAGGGGCAGGCAGGGCTGTGCTCCTTCTGCAGAGGAGAGCCGTTCCTTCTCCAGCGTGTAGATACTGCCCAGATCCCTTGTTCGCGGCCCCGTCTTCATCGTCATCTGCAAAGCTGGCAACATGGGGCCGAGTCTTTATCCTCACGCCCCCGCGCGGGTTCTCTCTCCTGCCCGCCTCTTCCACTCATAAGGATCCTTGGGCTTTTATTGGACCCACCTGGATAACCCAGGCTACTCTCCTTATCTCCAGGTCAGCTAATTAGTAACCTTAATTCCCCTTTGCCACAAAACCTGCCATGCTCACAGGTCCCAGGGTTAGGACGTAGACATCTGAGGTGGGGGGCTGTTACTCTGCCTACCACACGGTCTAAGCCAGCCCCCCACCCCACTCCTCTCTTAAAGCGTCCTGTTCTTTTCACTCGTGATTCTAAGCACAATGGAAGGAATTTAATCAGTGCTTGACTCCTTCCTTGCGGGCCTTCCCCTCAGGTCTGTGCAGTCCACAGGGTTGCGCAGTCACAGGCTGTGTCTGTCTGTTCACCGCTGTGCCGCAGTTCCTGGCTGAGTGCCTGGCCCCGCTGAAATAAGAAGAGGGGCTTTGGGCTGGGCTGCAGTGAGAGCTCGGCCCAATGCTGGCACATGCAGTGAGGATGCTGGGCAGCAGCCTGGTGAAACAGGCAAGGGCTGTGCCTGGTTCTGAGTCACCAACCTGCTTCTCACTAGCTGTGTGACTTGGGGCCTGTGATGTAACTTCTCTGTGCCCTCATTTCCTCCTCATCAGTGAAATGGGGATGATGGTAATAAGAGTGAGCATGAAATGCGGTAATATGTGTAAAAAGCCTTAGAACTTTGCCTGGCACATATCAAGTGCCATATAGGTGTTCTTTATAATGCTGCTGCTGATTGTTTATAGAGGGGACTGAGCTGGGTGCAGTGGTGAGAAGACAAGCCTAGCTGGCCTGCCTAAAGCTGGCCTGGCCGAGTTGGCATTAAATTGAGAGATGCCCAGCAGAGCTCATACCCCATGGATCAGCGGGAGCAGCAATTAGAGAACCCACAAGAGTGTTGCCAGGCAGGAGTGGGGCAGACGCTGAATGCTGCAGGTCTGGGAAACGGAGAGGCACCTGGGGTTGGTCTGATTGAGAAAGGTCCCTTGGAGAAGGGGGGCCTTTAAGCTAGGCTGTGGCAGGTGTCCTTGGCCATCTGAAGAGGAGGCAGGGGGTGAGCCCAGTGGTGGAGTGGGTTCACAGGGGGGGTGGGC